CACTCACAACCTTCTATCTGTCTCGAAACTTACTTCCGATAATTACGTTTCTATTTCTTTCGACGCTAACGGTTTTGTCATAAAGGACTCACGGGATCACAGTCCACTGCTTCATGGCCATCTCAGTAATGTTCTTTACCACCTCAGCACTGCCCAGGCCAACAAGAACTCAGCTCTCACGGTTACCACCAACGCCTCGTGCAACTGGCATTCTCGCCTCGGCCACCCGAACAAAGACACCCACAATACTCTTTCTCGTTTATTTCCCGAAATTAACAATGTACATCGTTCTTTCATTTGCAATTCTTGTAATCAGGCCAAGAGCCACAAGTTAGTCTTTAATAAAAGAGTCACCGTTACCACGGCACCCTTCGAGCTTCTGCACACTGACGTCTGGGGACCGGCACCTCACCCGTCCATAGATGGTCATCGATAATACATCATATTTATCGATGACTACACCAGATTCTCATGGCTCTATCTACTTCACACTAAGAACGAAGCTCTAACTGCATTCAAGAATTTCCATAATCTCGTAAGAACATAACACAATAAAACTCCCAAAATCCTCCGCTCAGATGGCGGAGGTGAATTCACCAGCCAAGCTTTCCGCCACTTCCTTTCAAGAAAACGGAATCATACATCATCTTACCTGTCCACACACGCCATAACAAAATGGCATCGCCGAACACAAACATCGTCTCCTTCTGGACCTAACTCGTGCTCTTTTAAATGAATCTGGTCTCCCACCCAAGTTCTGGTCTTCGGCGCTTTCCACCGCACATTACCTAATTAATAAACTTCCGTCCAAATCCATCTCTAATCAAATCCCGCACCAACGTCTCACCAGTACCTTGCCGTCCTATACGCACCTTCGAACTTACGGATGCTTATGCTATCCGTGGTTGAAGCCCTACTCCACTGACAAACTTGCCCCAAGATCTCATCCTTGTGTTTTTCTCGGCTACTCGCATCAGCAAAAAGGCTACTTATGTCACAACTTAACCACTGGCCACACTTATACCTCAAGACACGTGGTTTTCTACGAACAAAACTTTCCATTCAAACATCACTCAATCTCAAAACTCACAGACCAACAGGACATTACCCCTCACATACCACCCCTTCTCCTAACACCATCCTCCACCATCACTCACCCACCTACAACACACACCCTGCCATCACATAATTCTACCACCGATTCCTTTACTCACAACACACAACAATGTAACTCCCACACATCGCACCCGACACCCGAAATTCCCAGCCATTCTCCATAACACATTCACACGACGGCACCAAACATCATATTCAAACTCGCCTCAAATCAGGTATCTGCAAACTAAAGCCGGTGTTCAACCTTCTCGCTCAGATCACTCCGCAAACCACACCAACCACTTACCTTCAGGCGCTCAAATCCGAACAGTGGCGGGCAGCAATGAAGGCCGAATTCGATGCACTTCAACAGCAATCCACCTGGACGCTCGTTCCTCCTCCATCAGGCAAGCCGGTACTCGGTTGCAAATGGACATACAAGATCAATCTCCTACCCAACGGGCAACTAGACCGCTATAAAGCTCAACTCGTCTCCCTCGGCTATGATCAGAAATTCTGTAAAAACTACAATGAGATCTTCAGCCTGGTTGCGAAGATGCCTACAATCCGATTGCTGCTCACGCTCTCCCTCAACCGAGACTGGCCCGTGTACCAACTTGACATAGCCAACGCCTTTCTAGATGGAGATCTACCAGATGACATCTACATGTGCCAACCCCCTGGCTTCACCGATCAAAATCAACCTCAAGCGGTATGCAAACTCCATAAATCCCTCTACGGCCTAAAGCAAGCACCGCGACAATGGTTTCAAAAGCTAACAAGCTTCCTGCAACAACTCGGATTCGGGTTTAGTCGTTTTGATCCCTCACTTTTGATTTTTCATCAAAACGGTGTTCATATATACATACTCATTTATGTAGATGACTTCTTGGTAACAGGTAATGATGAAGCAGCCATTCGCCGACTTCTCACACAACTTCAAAAGCAATTCGCACTCAAGCAGCTAGGAAACATCTCCCTCTTCCTCGGAATCCAGGTGCCCCATACTAAACAAAGTTTCTTTCTATCTCAAGAACACTACGCTACCAAAATTCTTAACGACGCAGGGTACAAGGACTGCAAAGCAGCCCCAACTCCGGTCACTCGCGTCACCAAACTGAAGACACCAAACCTACAACTACATCCGGACCCGTCCCTATACCGTCGCATCGCTGGATCACTTCAATACATATCTATCACAAGACCAGACATCGCCTTTGCAACAAACCGTGTCTGCCAACACATGCAATCGCCAACTGAACAAGACTTCAAAGAACTCAAGCGCCTACTACGCTACATCAAAGGCACTCTCTCCTACGGCTTGCCTATCACAACCGGCTCACTGGAACTCAGATCTTATTCCGACGCGGACTGGGCATCAAATACAACTGACCAAAAGTCGGTATCAGGTTTCTGTACATTCATCGGCCCCCAACCTCATCTCTTGGACGGTCAAAAAGCAAGCAACCGTTGCCAAATCATCCACCGAAGCCGAGTACCGGTCTCTCTCTGCTGCCGCATCAGACGTAATATGGCTCAGAAGACTTGCAGCCGAACTCAATCTCACGCAACAATCGCCGACCACCATACATTGCGACAACACCTCGGTCATGGCCATAGCCAAAAATCAAGTGTTTCATGCAAGAACGAAGCATATCGAGATCGACTACCACTTCATCCGTCAGCAAATCACCTCCGGCAACATCAAACTCGAGCACATCTCCTCCAAAGACCAAATAGCGGATATTCTCACTAAACCTTTTTCGATATCCCGTTTCATGGAATTGCGCACCAAATTAACCACTCGGTCAAACGACTGCCTAATTTGAGGGAGGATATTAGCACAACATAGAAGGGCTTTATGACCGTTACATATATATTTACATCTATACCTTTGTTTAGTCTATTTAAGTCTTAGTCCGTAACAGTATTGTGAGATAATAACATTCTTCTCCTTCTCTTGTCTTCCTTGACTTTTCCCGTTTATCCTTTCCTCTCCTCTTCCTAATTCTTTCAGAAAGAGACTTTTCTAATATGACTATCACAAAAAATCTACTATATAATAGAATTAATGATAAATAGATAATAATATTTTAATTACTTATATTGAGAAAGAAAATTTTTAATGCATTGATAAAAAAAATAATCATTTAATTTTTTGGAATATGAAGAATATGAGTTATAACATATTTTTTGGAATATGAGGAATATGAAGAATATGAGTTATAAATTGTAAATTTTTTGTATTTGATATTTTATCATTGTAAAATAAAAAAGTTTAAATAAAATATTTTTTAAAGCTATTAACATTGGTCTTAAGCATGAATGAAAAAAATGAGGGAACATCTTAAAAAACTAATTAGTTTCCCCACTAAAAAAAAAATTTTGACTTCGCCACTCGCTAAAATCAGTTGAGGGATTTATATATTTAGTAACTAAATTTTATTATTTACAAACATACCACTCAAAGTATTAAAATTAAATAAAAATAATGCAGATCCTCCTTTAGGGCATCTCTAACCGAATAATTTATTTTCCACTTAAAACTATAGTAATAATCATATCAAACAGTAATTCATCTCAAATCGAACTCCATTTCTAATACCCAAAAAGAATATTATGTATATAGTCTGTCTAATCTCCATTTCTAAAATCCATTTTTTTTACACAAAAATGTTTATGTGAATAATATGACGCTAATATTAGCATCTCACTGCTCAAAGATGAGATAAAACGCAAAAAACTTCATTTTGATTTTCCATTCGGATGGATGCTCACGAGTTAAGTCGGCGTTGTCGTCCCGCGGCCCGCCATCCTGCCATTCCGCAAACCCGTCGTTCCGCACTCTCCCGCGCCCCTGCAATCCTTCAATACTACAATCAGATCGGGTTCGGATTCAAGAAAATGACCCGTTTTTAAAAACGGGTCGGGTTCAAGCCGGGTCAACTTTTGTCATATAGTTCTGAGTTAAACCCGAACTCGACCCGTGACCCGATTCTAAAACTTTCGAGTCGAACCCGGAACTGACCCAGGTTCAAACAGGTCGATCCTAACCCGACCCGGATAGGTAAACGGGTCGAAAATGCCAACCCGGACCCGACCTGGAGGGTTGACCCTACCCGACTCGGGAAGGCTTGCTGGCAACCTCGCGGGCATGGACGTGCAGGCTACCGGGTGCGGAAGCGAGCGGCGGGCATGGTCGCGCGGTGGATGTGCGTGGGCAGGGTTCGCGAGGCGGGCGAGGTCGTGGGAAGGGGGCAGCCGCACAAGCGCGTGGGCAGCAGCGGTCAGTCGAGCGGACGGGCTGGCAGCTGTGGGAGCGGCGGGCAGTCGCGCAGGCAGCCGTTGGATCGGATTTTCGTGTCGTGTCAAATATTGACACCCCTAGATTCAATCAAGCCATCAAGGCTTCTTTTTTTGTGTCCAACAAGATCCGTCGCAACTTCTTCTCCATTGCTAGCGTTTTGTTAACAAAGAGTTAATGGTAAACTTTAAATGTTAAATGCAAAATCTTAATATTACAGTGGACTCTGCCCACAATTTTCATAAAAGAATTAATAGAAAACTAAGCATCGAAACAAAGTCAAAATAACGACAAGCCGGCCGCGGCCGTCGGGCAAACGACTCCTTCCAAAATATAAATTATACATATCCGTCAGACCTCATGCCCACTTTAATCCACCACACGCCACGTGTCACCCTGACCTCGCATCCACCACGTGGCAATCGCAACAGCCCGGTGCGAACGATCACCACGCGCGCTGCACTGAACGCGCTCGCTTTCAGGTGCCTTTCTCGATCTCCAACTCAGCCAGGGGCATTTGCAGAAATTTAAATATTATTTTAAAAATCGATCTCAGCCACCGGGCCTGCGTCGAACGGGCAAGCCGGATAGTTAAAAAAAAAACCAGGTCAAACGGAAAGCCGGCGGACACCAAATGCGCCGCCCGTCCTCGGACCTTGCATAAATAGGAACAGCAACCACTTGGCAGCCTCGCACTGTTCTCTGCTTCGAGCCTCCGATCCCCCACTTTCATCTTCAAGAGATTTTTGCCCTGAACTGGGTGATGGCGTGGCCACAGTTCATGTCTTCGTCGTTTCCCTCTTCGGCCAATACGGAACACAGTTTGAAACCCTCGATTTACTTCCTCAATGCAGCCGCCGATCTGCCGGCGAACAACGGGTTCCGATCGGGGGGCGTAGAAGAACATCTTCTTCGAAATCTGTGCGAAGGAGAGGCCGCCGGAAATTGTACGGAGGTTTCTGGTGGGGATGAATCGGCGTTCAGGGAGGTGACTTTGGAGGATTACTTGACTAAAGCTAGAGTAGTGAGAACAGAGGATTTGAAGACAGCGGCGGCTGCGAGTGATCGAATTGGGCAAGAGGAGTTGGAGGAAACGGGGAATCAGATGGTGGGGATTGCGGGTGGAGGAGCGGAGAGAGGAAGGGGGAGGAAGAGGTCGGCCGTAGATTCGGTGGATAGAGCGGCATTGCAGAGGCAGAAGAGGATGATTAAGAACAGGGAGTCGGCGGCGAGGTCTAGGGAAAGAAAGCAGGTCTGTAACCCTAATTCTATTTTCATAAATCGATATATATTTCTTCAAGGAGTTTACATTCTAGAGTTACGATTTAAGGAATTGCTTCTGAGATGAATAATTTTAGGAAATTCTTGTACTCTGTTACAGCAATACACGAATCAACTGGAGCAGACAGTGTTCAAGCTGGAGGAGGAGAATGCTATCCTTCTCAAGGAACGGGTATCTCTCTCTCTCTCTCTCTCTCTCTCTCTCTCTCTCTCTCTCTCATAACAGTTTATTATCGTATTAGCAATTAATTATGAAAAACTAAAGATATAAAATATCTAATCATTGAGCATTTAATAAAATCTAATATCATTCTTCATTCCATCAAACACCCATCGTTGTTTAGCTTGGTTGGTGGGCGAGTGCGATTAGAAACTCAGCCCGTGCTCGATTCCCCTCGAGCAGCAGCGCCACATAAGTGGAGGCCAATCAAGCTTTCTAGGGTAGGTGTCTCTTCTAGGTCATCTTAAGATTAGTCATGCCGCCAAACCCACTTTCGGGAGTGATAGCAGATGGATATCCTGTTTAGGGTGGGTGTCTCTTCTAGGTCATCTGAGAATTAGTCATGCCGCCAAACCCACTTTCGCATGTGACAGCAGATGAATACCCCGTTCCAAAAATAAAAAATTCTTTCAAACTTATTAGCTGAAACAGAATATTATTGTAATATTATTTTCTTGTGGTTGCAGGAAGATCTTCTAAACTGGAGGTTTCAACAGGTAAATATTCAACCCTGGATTGATTTTATTAACAATATTTTTGTTTTTAACTGATAAATTGGAAGATTGCCATACCAGCCAACTTAATGGGAAAATTGGGAAGGAACTCACCCAAATTTTGTGAGAATGGACTCCATAAAATGATAAGGGTCATATACTCATATTATTATATTTAAATAATATAAAATTTCGTGATTTTGATTTATAGATAATATAAGAAAATCAAAATATTCGCCATAAAGAAATGAATAATAAGGATATAGAATTGGTTTTATTTGAATTTTATGGTGATATAATTTTAATCAGCTAATTAAATTAATGTCACAATAATTAATATAAAAAAGTTTTAGCTCATGCAAGAATTTATACAATAATTTTAATAATATGCAACTATTTGTTTTACTCAAATGTAGAACAAATAATAAGTGATTATCATGAAAGTTTCACATTATTGGATGGACACTTAATTAGGTCCTTTTTAGGACAACTTTCTTACTACGTACTTTATCTTTCAAGTTGAAACCACAATTATGTTTCTATATCGTTACTTTCAAGAAATTTCTATGCGGAAACCATTTTTTACAACAGTTAAAAAAAATATTTTTCTCACAACAGTTTCACAATCATTTTTATAAAAAATTGCATTCGTGCGTCCCAAACAAACTATTGATTTATGACATTACGTGTTGTTTAAAGAATTTATTCAGATATAATAATGATTGATGTGAAAGTTTCTCATTTAAAGAGGAGAATCTTATGATCCTCATTATGAGAGATTATTACGTGTAAATACCAGACATAGAGAATCATTCAATTTTGTCCTTGTGAACTGTACAACCAGATGGTTCTGTGTATCCGGTCTCCGCACATAATAATTTCACCCACATTAGCGAAGAAACCGGATGGTGCCGTAGCGGCGATTTGAGCATGATGCCCATTAATACTTCTCGTCGTATGCAGATCTCTCTGCATGCTGAGACATATGGCCGTCTAAAATGAAAGGATCTAATAGTTTCCTTCAAAATATTCCCCATAAAAGATAAAACGATAGTAATTAACAAAACAGATAGTTTTCTAAGGCATTGACCACTTTTGCAGCTTATCATTTCGTTAATTAACTATTATATATATATTTTATCTGCAGCTTGTGGAAAATGTGATCCCGGTCGCTGAGCGGGAGAAATCAACGAGGGCTCTGTTGAGAACTAATTCCTTCCCATAACAAAGGCTGGCGCAGCAGCAAATGCATTAGAAACCGAATTGGCAAGTGCGAAATCACTTTTTTAGCCATGGAATCGTATAGAAAATAGTTAACGGAAGAACCCGCTTAAGAATTAGCAACGAAAAGAGAAAACCCTAAACGGTCACCGTAAGCAAATTGGCTTTGGAAAGTAACGTTGTAGTCAGATTTGGTGATTTCTTATGTTCCTACGTTACATTAGTTTAATAAAGCGATTTTTTTTTTTTCCTTCTTCTTCTTAGATCATATTGTTTGCTTTTTGTACTATGCTTAGTAAATTTAATTAGTGGCTTATTTATGTTAGTTTTCTTAAACTCTACTTTGAATGTAACGTTTATTTCTGATATGACTACTTTATTTACTTACAAAAGACTTAAATAGTTTAAATAAAAAAATAAAAATGATAGCACTTATCAGCGTTAAAACTTCATGTCTTTGAGATCCTATCTCAACTTCTTCATCATCCATGGCACTTGTCCCGTGCGTGAGTTAATCCCACCATCTGCATTGGAGAAAGAGATGTGAAATAGTAGGTGATTTAAGCAAGATTTGAGCAAGTAGCAAGATTTAAACAGGTATTGTGCAGGATTTAGGTTTCGTTTGGGATAGCTTTATAAAACAACTTTTTAGTTGTCCAAACTGTCTTCTCAAACGTTCTGCTTAGGTTAGGAATATTAGAATTTTTGACATCTACATCACCCATTCATGTATCTTATTCTTCTTTAATGTTTGCATCTCCATCAACCTCCTCATTTACCGATTGTATTTAGACATACGTTCACAAGAAGTTTATCCTCGCATGCACTCACAGCTTTTGGTGCTTCCTTCACTATGAGTTTACCCTTCTCATTTTGTATTGCTTCAATGCAAGCTTTAACTGTGTTATTTAGAATAATTATTCCCTTTGTCATTGTCCAAAGTTTGTGTACTGAGCACATAGTGAGGTTAGATAAGCTTAATCTTAACAAGGCAATCATCATTTCCTATTGCTTCCACCTTCCTCATAGATTTTCATTTTGTATAGAACACCAATAAGCTAAAAACACTTCATCTCAATATCAGCGAATATCTTCAACGACTAAAAGTCATCGTCCTCCTAATATGTTTCATAAAGGGCATCCTTCAATTCCTCGGTCAAAGCGGGTGCCACCTTTATCAACTCTTGCCCATCCAACACAACTTCCTTTGCTTCCATAGTGGATAGTTCTAGAATCAGTTCAAGATCTGAGACAATCAACTTGAACGCTTCACGGTCATGATAAAAGTTGTAGTAGATCGACCAGCCGATGTGGATGTAGAGATCCTCGAGATTGACACTGATAGTTTTGGAGATATGGTGCATGATAGAGTGAACTAGCTTGCTCTTGTTGTAAAGCTCCTCACAGGCATGGACATCCTCCTCGGAGACTCAACACTTGCTGAGTTCGATGTAGCCCTTATCACAGTCAACAAGGACAACCATGTAGGCTCTTGTCGATCTATGAGGATGAGAGAGTTGATGCTACGAATGCGAAAGCGAGAGAGCTTGTTAAAGGGTATCGTACCCGGCCTTGATGTTGTTGTACTCAAGTAGAGAGACATAGGCAGTCATTTTAGTGATGCTCCTTACCTGAATCATTATGGTAGTATCGACCTCTGGTAAGTGGGCTTCATACATCTGACACTCAAGATTCAGGAAGTTCATCCCCTCCATGGCTAGTAGAGAATGTTGCATGCGGGGCGATGAAATTCTCAAATCTTAAGTGTCGGATGTATGATGCTCACTTCTCAAAGTTGTTACTATCATAATGATTCATGTAAAGTGCATTGCTAAAATGGGTGCCAACATATTTCTACTTAAGTACAACAACATTGAGGGTATGATACCCTTTAATAAGCTCTCTCATCACAGCATCCTTAGTGTCAACTCTCTCATTTGTGTAGGTTGCTAAGAGATCTCCATGGTCGTGTATGTAAACTATGATAATGACTACATTGATCTTAACAAGCATCGAGTCCTAGAGGAGGACATCCATGCCTATGAGGAGTGCTACAATAACAGTAAGCTAGTTCACTCTATTGTGCACCATATCTCCAAAATTATCAATGTGGATCCCGAGTATCTCTACATCCACATTGACTGTGGCTTTATTGCAAGTTCAATCACGCCTTTGAGGCATTTAAGTTGATTATCTCATATCCAGAATTGATACTCGAACCACTCATTAAGGAAGTAAAGGAAATTGGGTTGGATGGGCCTAAACTGGTGATGGTGGTACCCACTATGACTGAGGAATTGAAGGATTCCCCCTTATGAAAAATATTAGGAGGATGATGAATTTGCAGTCGCTGAAGATATGCATTGATATTGAGATGAAGTGTTTTCAGTTTTACATTATTCTACACATAAAAGAGGATATGATAAAGGCAGAAGCAACATGAAATTATGATTTTCTTATTAAGACTAAGCTTGCCGCACCTCTTCCATATGTGCTTAGTACACAAACTTTGGATAAGGATAAGAGAATAAGTGGTCTAAACAATATAATTAAAGCTTTCATCGAAGCTGTTGTGTTTTGTTCCTATTTTTAGGTTTGTTTTTTTGTATAGGTTTTTGTATGGCAAAGTGTATGGCCATTTTGTGTTACTTTTGTGTAGCTCTTAGGTGCCTATTAATAGTCTTTAGCTTGTATTAGGAAAGCAGCCAAGGGAATAAAGTTTGAAGCATTTTGGCTCACGGTTCTCTCCTTCTCCCCTCTCCCTCCTCCTCTCTCCCTCTCTAGATCTTGCAAGAAGGTCTCTCAAGAAGATCTTCCTCCTTAGTTTCTACATAAGCAATAGAGAATGAGAAGGGTAAACTCATAGTAAAGGAGGCACCAAGAGATGTGAGTGAATGGACGGATAAGCTCCTTGCAGAGCATATGGCAAAACTAAAATTTACGAATGAGGAGGTTGATGGAGATGCATAGAGCGAATAAGTAGAAGATATAGAAATGAGTGAGGTAGATGTCAAAAATTCTAGTATTCTAAACTAGCCATGACGTAAATTAAGGCTAATATATTCTCTATTACATTATGAAGGTAATTTGGGCCTTCTTGATCATGCGAGACCAAGATGTAAATTTCACTTTTGACATCTTCTCTATAACATTAAGAAGATGTCCAAGCTTTCTTAATTCCACGCTATCAAGCTATAAGCCTCATCATTTCCATCATTTCTTCACTTTTATCATATCCCATAATCTAAATAAGAAGAATTATATATTTTTATCTTTGGAATCATCAACCAGTGCTTACCAATTGCATTAAAAAATATAAATAGCAGAAAATATAGTTATATTTCTATTCATTCAATATTTACTCATTGATTTAACCAAAATAAGTTATGTAATAATTATGATATGCAACCAATAATAACTAATCAGTTCAAATGCATAATGACTACAAAAAGGAAGAGAAGATCGATCGATGTAGAAAGGGAAATCAAGCCTACAGCCTAGATCAACCTCAATCTATAGGATCCTTACCCTTGCTTGAAAACATATAAAAATCATATAATTAGCACATACCCTAGCAAGTAGTCAATATCTATCACTGAAGTCAATACATCAAATAAAAATAATAACCACATAACTGTAAGAATATATAGCAATCAATAGGAACAATATCTTTCATATCATGTAATTCATATACAATCTTATCATATATATCAATCATATTCTCGTCATATATCATATAGTCATATCAGCACATTTTTTGTCTAGTTACATGTCAATCGTGTCAATAAATCAATCTTCTCATCGGTCAATTAATCACTGCATATCATAACTCACATGTCGTAAGTCATATTAGTTATATCTATCATTAGTTTATCTATTGTATATGTCATCTATTATTTCTATTCTATCATATCATGTTTGAACTATGTATGATATCATATATGCATACTAATGTTGAATTCAGTAAGGCAGGACATTTAGCTTTAAAGTGTTGTTTTCATCCTTCCATCTATCATATGTATCTATCAATCAATCAATTATTCTCAGTTAATCACATCTTTTAATTATTTCTATAAGTTATTTATTTTAATAAATGGTTTTCAATAAATTAAAGAATCATCACACTCTACCCTTCGATATAATCGATCAATCGGTTACAGGCTAACAACTATGATTATACCCCAAATCTTTTATTTTAAGGAAACTCCATCAGCTCATCCTCTTATACAGAGTATTATTATTTAAGAGCTAACTCATATTAATCATAGTGTTGAAAGCTAGTCTTTCTTGCTTATATGTAAATGTCGAATTTATTATATACTAATCATAGTCATTTTCTCTATCAATCTGTATATTATTTATTTACTTCAAAAAATCACAACTATCACTTTTCTCAATGAAATTTTTATAAAAATTATTCAAAACGTTTAGAATAATGATATATGTCACATATGATATATTTCACATATAATGAATAATGATATATATCTAGGCCTACAGCCTAGATTGACCTTCTGCCAGATCTCCAAGTGATGTCAGTCTTTTGCCCGACCTCCAAGTGACGCCTGCCTTCTGCCTGACCTCCATGTGACGACGGTCTTGCATCCGACTTCGGAGTGACGCTGGCCTTCTACCCAGCCTCCAAGTGACGTCGATCATCTGCCTGACCTCCAAGTGATGTTAGTCTTCTACCCGGCTTCCAAGTGACACCGATCATCTGCCCGACCTCTAAGTGATGTCAGTCTTTTACCCGACTTCCAAGTGACACCAGTCTTCTGCCTAACCTCCAAGTGACGTCGGCCTTCTGCCCGGCCTCCATGCGACGCCGGTCTTGCACCCGACTTTTGCCCATCGTTGGACTTCTACCCGTTGCTGGGCTTTCATTAGATTTTATACCCAACGCCCTACTTCCGCTCGTCACTGAACTTTCAACCTCCCTCCTGACAACGGACTACCCGCCTACTACAGTCTTTCCAACCTCCATCGCTAGTAACGAATGTGAATCTCCTTTGGTCATCAGATCTCTCGAATGATGGTGATCGCTCGTCGTGACCTCTATATAGAAAGAGGAGAAAGCTTCTACTCAATGAGGGGCCCTAGAGCTGAACAGGGGATATCCATCTGAACAGAGCTAGGAGAAGGCCTCAACTTGAGAAAGATGAAAAGAAAGTGAAGGAAATTATTACTCAGTGAGGGGCCCTAGGACTGAACAGGGGATACCATCT